TATAAAATAACCGAAAACTCAAAATGATATAATTTTTATAAAATAACCAACCGAACAGTACCATTGACACCCCGAGGGTCAAGTATATTGGGTTTTCTTCTTTTTAACATAATGAGTGACAATGAGATTCATGAATTTTAGAATCTCTATTTGCTCTAATATCATATTGAAGTGTGTAGCTATTTCATCTAAAAACTTAAGCTATTACAAAAAGCACGCATTTATTGTTAAGTTATATTCTCAACGAGGCCTATACGCTTGATATTTACTAAAAAGACAGAGCCAAAATATACTTGTCTGGACAATTTTTCAAAATCAGCTTAGGAGCAAATGCATCCCTTTAACTTCGTGATGTACCACTTATTTATACCCTTAACAAGGGGTATATCCATTTAAATTACAAAATTATGGTGTATATTTGCATTTAATTTTCTCTTAAAAAATATTATTTTCAAAAAGTACGTACTTTTTATAAAAAAAATACTTTTGATGAGAAAGAATTTGTATTTGGTCAATATATTTAAAAAACACTTTTTTGATATTTTTTCTCTTAGCTGTGTTAGAGCACTTCTCTCCAACTTCCAAGGTTGATACCCTTCCCACCAATACTTTTTTTTTTTTGGTTTTTTTTCGATATTTTTTTCTCTTGATAGTGTTGGAGCACTTCTCTCCAACTTCCAAGGTTGATGCCCTTCCCAGTTGAGAAGAATTGGAATTGGGGACGCCTTTAAAACTTAATTTAACCAATAGCCACCTAATTTCTTTTTGAGTTAATTTGTAGGGTTACGGATAGAAAAAGGGGAAAAGTGGGGTTGGCTTGTGGTGTCATGGGCCTTTTCAACATTATAAGAACTTGGGATAAAAACACAAGTATAAAATACTTCAACATTAAATAAATTCATCCCTCCATAATAAAAAATTAAAAACTACAATCCAAGTATAAAAAAATATTTAATAATATTAGGTATATGCATTTTCCGAGGAAACCTCAGAACCTTTCAGAGAACTTTTCCTCCACTTCTCCTCTTTCAACTCTTCGTCTTCTCCATAAACCCTCTTTACAAAATCATCAACCTCCATAAAAAATTGATCATTCTCCAACAAAACTTCCATCTTCCTATAATCGTTCTTGAAAAACGAAGTGAAGTTTATTTTGTTTTTCATCTTCTTCCTCTCAAGTAAGTTTAATCGTGTTTTCAATAAGTTTTAGCCTATTTGATGTTTTTATTGCGATAGTGTAGCGATGTTTAGATTTTTGCTTAAAGTTCTCAAAATCTGACCCGTTTTAGTTCATGGTCTTTATTCGGAATCATTATTGACGTATAGCTTTAGATAATGCGTAGAAATTTTTGATTTTTTATGTTTATCTGGCCTATCGATTTGAAAGTTTTTATTGTATTTTGGTTGACTATAATGGTGTTTCCCTGGTGTTTACGTCAATGGCATTGTCGAGTTTTGTTGGAAATGGTACTTTTTTCATATTTTTTTAGCATTAATCTGTTTGTATTAATAGACTACTTGTCGATATTTTGATATGAAATTTATGTTTTTGAATATAATACAGTATGACTCCTAAAATTAGAGGCGACATTGTTAAAAAAACAGTTTCTAAGCCTTCTAAAAACAAGAAAAGAAAGGCTGGAGAAGTTTGAAGATCTTCAAAAAAGAAAAAAATTGTAGTTGAAGAACCTAAGTCTAACACAGATTCTGATATGATGGCTGAAATCGACAACTATGAGGACAGTAGTGCCCAGGCTACTAATGATGTTGAGTCTAGTGAAGAAAATACTGATAGTGGAGATGAGTCGAGTAGTAGAGGCAGCCGAGGTACTGGAGAAGAGGATGGTGATCCCCTGTCCTTGCCAACTTGTGCAAGAGTGATCTCTGGTAAGTCCTATAATCTAACTACATGTATGGATGAGTTAGGATCTTTTCCAGCCAAAATTTCTGTGAGAGCAAGAATGACTCTTTATCGTAATTTTAGAAATGCTTTAGTTCAAGAAAAAAATTATAATGACTTTAAAGATACTTGTTTTGGACATTTAAGACATATTCCAGAACATTACAAGTTCAATGGACAAATGGTCCATTATATGTTGTTGCGTCGTGTAAAAAATGATAAAGAATTGCATGAGATGTGGTTTTGTGTGAATGATAAGCCTGCTTGATTTGGCTTAAAAGAGTTTGCATTGATTACAGGGCTGAATTGCTCAACATACCCCCGTGATGCAAAAATGAAGAAAGTGCTTCAGAAAGGTGAGAAATTTTACTATAAAGTGACCAAGAATAAGAATATCAGTGGTAGAAAGTTGTTAAGTTTGATTAAGGGTACCAGATTGAATAAGAAGCAGAAGTTGAAGTGCTCTTTAGTTTGGTTCGTCCACTCGATGTTGCTTGTCCACGATCAATCTAAGATTGTGGATCCAAACCACATTAAGATGGTCGATGATTTAGATCTTTTCAAGAGTTATTCGTGGGGCAAAGAGTGTTTTGATTTAACAGTGAAGTATTTGAAGAACAAAATTAATTTAAAGAAACAAAGTGAAGTGTACAAGGAAAGAAGGAATGCATCGTATGCTTTGTATGGCTTCCCCTGGGCATTTCTGATAATTTTTATCAATTATGGACTTGATTAATATTACACTATTATATATTTATATAGTATTTCATAGTCTCTGTTTATTTATTTGTTATTTTATTAATTTCAGGTTTGGATATATGAGGCTTTTCCTCATCTTGGTAATTATGCAAAGAAGTCCTTGGATTCTCCTCTGTCAATTCCCCATTTACTTAGATGGCACACGGCAAAGAGCGATTACATTGTCGAAGGTGATCCATTTAAGTACAAAGGGAGAAGTACAAAAGTATAAACTTATTTATTATTATCTAGCAATACTTGTAAATTAGTGAAGGTCTTGTACTATTTATATTTTTTTTTTGTAGGTTGTGCATCCATACCTCGTACCTATTGTCCATGAGACAAAATAAAATTATATGGCAACATTAAAGCCGTATACGGACAATGTGAAGGACACAATTATTGATGCCTTAAAGGCCAATTTGAAAGGTGTCATTGTCCTCATTTCTACAGTAGAGAACCAGGAGGATGAAATATTGGGTGAGAAGAATTCCAACCAACTTGGTGAGAATTCTGTTTCGAGTGGACAGAAAAATAAAGATGATAATTTGTGTAAGCGTGTTGCATTCCTTGAACTATCAATGATGAAAGTTGTTGCTTTCATATGAGATGAGAAATTGAGGAGAGCTCAAAACAACAAGAAAAAAGAAGGTAGACTAATTTATATACTATTTGTATGAAATTATTTATTTGTAAGAATGCTAAACCATTGATCTTGCAGCAACAGTTGATAGAGATGAAGACTATACAACACCAATAATTGATGAAGATGGTGCTGAAGTTGATGTTGATGAAATACTTCCATTAGCAATAATCGATGAAGATCTGGTTCCAATTGACGAGTACTTTGCAGAAGAAGTTAATGAACAAGAAGAGGAGAAGATAGCAGAAAAAGATGAAGAAAGAGAAGAGGACAAACTGCAAGAGAACGAAGAAGAAATTGAAGAGAAGAAACAAGAAGAAAAAGAAGAGGAGCAGATCGAAGAGAACGAAGAAGAACAAAAAGAAGAGGAGAAGATCGAAGAGAACAAAGAACAAGAAAAAGAAGAGGAGCAGATTGAATTGTAGGAAGAAGAAAAAGAACAGGAGAAGCTGGAAGATAAAGTAGATGAAGGCAGTGATGGAAATTCAGTGGACGTGATGGGTATAATACATTGGGGGTGGAGATAATGATGTATGAGAAAGAGTTGTAGTTATACAATGAATATCTTCAAACTAATGTGTGAAGAATGCACAAGTATGAATGAGGATAATTATGTGTGGTTATACAATCAACCTTTACAACATAAGCATGTGATCATGTATGAGTCCATATAAATTGGGGTGGAAATCAACAATGTGTGGTTGAACAAGTGACATCCTCACAACATACTTATGTTTTTTCAAACATTGTTCTAAGGATGTTGATTGTATAACCTCAACTCTTCCTCGTACATCACTAATCACCACACCCAATTTATGTGGACTCTTACATGATCATATGACTTGTTTAAACTTATTTAATTGGATAAATTTCAAATATATAATTTATTATTAATTAATTGCTGTCTTTTTTAAATTCTACTAGTTTTGGTCTATATATAAGTGTCAGATTCTAGTTGGTGAAGTATCGATAATGCGTTAACATAGATATAAACCCGAATACACCTTACTAATGTCAGAGTGTAAATCTCATATGTCATACATACACCTTACACATATAGATGTATCGATTGTATAAAGGGTTTATATATTTTGACAACCAGTAAATATTTAGATATACAAATTTTACAACGGTAAAAAAAGTTCAAATTGCTACTTTTTTTAATGGTAACATCTATATTTTTGACAATTCATTAAGGATTCGTTTGGTAGAGTGTATATGCAAATAATGCTTGTATTAGTTATAGTTGAATCATTTAAACTTAGATTATTTCTTAAGCATTGTTTGATTTGGTGCATTAAAAATAATCACAAATACCATTCTAATTCATTCTAATTCTAATTTTTAATCATATTCTAATTCATGCATTAGAATCATATTCTATTAATAATTTTCATATATTAATAACACACAGATAGACAGTGTACAAAATATGTCATCTTTTGATTGATCTATATTAGATCATGAGTAATTACGATAATAGATGACAATAAATTGACCAAAATGCTAGCAGTTGCTTGATTACAGTAGCAAAAACAAGCAGAAGCTTGATTACAGTAGCAAAAAACAAAAGTAGCTTCATTACAAAAACAAATTAAATCAAGCTTGTTTAAGATTTGTTGTTGTTCACACATGTAGTTCTCTTGTGTCCGATTCCCTTACAAATTGAACATTTGTTCCTTCTCTTGCTCTTGAAATTTTCACTGATGCCTTTGACACTTATTTTCTTTTTCTTCCAAGCTTGATATCGACAAGAGGCGGAAGAATCTTCACATTAAGCAATTCTTCTGGAACACACCATTTCGACTCGAGAGGGATAATATTAATAGAATTCATGTATGCAAGAAGGTACGCTTCAACTTTATACAAATGCGAAGAGTACTTATAGATGCTCATACCATACTCATTGACATGCTTCGATCGCAAAGCGGCCATCGCGTGAGCACAGGGTCTCTTGATCAAGTCATATTCTCTACATGAACATGACTTTTCCAGTAGGTCCACATAGGCAGTAACACCCACACCAAACATGGTAAATTGATTGTCGTCCCCAGTTACATTCTCCACATATAAGGAGTTACCCTGGATCATTTTTTTCTTGCAATTTTTTCCGCAGCCGGCACCATTTGATTACCCATTGATTTAAGGATATATGCATGCCTCTCCCTAAAAAATTCTCCAAACCTCTTAGCAATCGAATTAAATATAGATGCCACGAGATACTCTCTTTCGTCTATCAACATAACATTGAGTGACTTGGCGATATTTATGGTCATCACCTCATATCTATTGCCAGGAAAATGTGCCCTACTCCACTTCTCAAAACCAATATCATGCTCAAGGACGACGGCTGCCGCGGGACATTTGTTTTTGAATTCTCTACAAAATGATTGTCAAACTCCTCCAAAGAATAAGCCTTTGCTGCATTGTAGTAAAGATAAAGGTAATCTCCACAATGATGATTTATGCAGAGATTTTCACCGAGGTGCCTCATACAATATCCGTGGTGAGCATGATTGTAAATGTTCATAATACCATTGGCGATACTCTTGTGTCTATCAGAGATAAAACACAAATCTGGTTCATCGACCATAATCTCCTTCAAATTCTCAAAGAAGAATGTCCAAGATGCATCATTTTCATTGTCCACGACACAAAAGGCAATTGGATAAACATGATTCTCCGTATCTTGTGCAACAACGCTCAACAACACGCCTTTATATTTACCATATAAATGAGTGTCATCAACCGCAATCATCTTTCTCATGTGGGCAAATCCCTTAATGCAAGCACCAAAGGCCAAGAAATAATACATGAACCTATGACTATCCTCGTTTACCATGAGACAATAACTAGAACCAACATTAAGTGTCTCTAACATGTAGGAAAAAGCCGGTAAGCATGAATATCTATTCTTCGTTGTCCCTCAAACCATTTCCTTAGCAACCACACCACCCTTCCAACATTTCCAATAGCTTGGACTACAATGAAAAAAATTAAACATAGCTCTTTGAATCTCTTTAACATTTGGACCCTTTCCATCATGATACAAATTTACACAAAGTGAAGCAATGACTTTGATTGAAATCTTGTTATGGCTACTGTTGGCATGTTCAACGCCATAACTATGTTCGCCAATGTACTTATAGATACAAAATCTTTCCGAACACTCATATTTCCTCGCCCGCAACATCCATGCACAATTTCAATACACATTTCACCTTTAAGTATTTAGTACAACTCTTCACAGTAGCAAAATCAAAAGACTTTTTTGCCGCCGCTTCGGCTAATAACAATTGCAACTCATTCTTGTTTCTGAAAGTTTGGTTTATACATAAATTAGTTCCATCAGAGAAGGAATGGTTAGATTGTGATCCCAATTCCTTTTGTACCTACATTTCTTCACAACATTCGGGTTCAGGATCTTCTGCATCTACTGGCTGATTTTCCACATTAGCTGGATCATCATGTATATTCATTGAATGATCACCCAAACTTTCATTTGAATTATCACCCAAGCTCTCATTTGAATGATCACCCAATCTTTCATTTCCAATCGAATCATTGTCGCCGTTAAATGAATTTGTTGGTTCAATTGGAGGCCTCAAATTAACGTTTATCCTCAATGTATGCCTAGAGCCATCAATACCAATATCTAACATGTACAAGCTCACATTCCTATATTTTTTTATGAATGTGGGATGTATTTTCTGCTCCCATTCATTTGATAGCTAATCACCAAGTCATTTGGCTCGCAAGTTAACTCACCGGCCTTAATTACGCTTGCAATCATATCGTCATATGAACCATTGCGACGCAACGCAATGGGCACTGTCGTTTTACTAAAAGATTTCCAATTCCAGCTTTTGGGAGTCTCCTCCCATACTCCCATATAATCACCACCAGCAACAACAAATTCAGTTACTGCCATTATCGACTACAAAGATATATACTAGATTACAGTATCAGTCGTTAACGATCGATGAAGTCTGATATCCGTACAAAAAACGCGACTGAATGAGATCGTGGCTCAAAATACAGCTCCTGCAATGGCGAAACATATTTTTAATGCTTTTAAACAACTAAAATGTTTCTATAATGAGTTATCAAGTGTTTATTATACAAGATTTCTCGAATTTCTAAAATGGCGGGAAAATCATTTTGAAGCTTGGTTTTTGAAATAAAATGGAGTAAACATGACTCTGGAGTATGAGATGATGATGATTTTACCTTGAGAATGGATATTTTGGCCGGATTACTCACAGAAATCGTCAGTTTCGACAGCAGCAAAACAAGTTGCTCTTCTTTCCCGTTTGTTTGGCTTTTTTGTTTTTTTCTAATATAATTTTTAAGAAATGCAAATAGATATATATTATTCCAAATTAGTTGGAAAAGAAGGAGGGACCAAAATGGAGATATTAAAACTTAGTGAAGTCTTTTGTATGTGCCAATTAGGGCATGTGGATGATGTCATTAATAGTGGGTATACCACAAATTATTCAAGACTGTTGTCTTAATGTTCAATTAACTTTGGAGAGTGGCTATTTTGCTAACTCCCCCTTCCCAGTTCCTACCAACACCTTTTTCTTTTTATTTTATTTTTTCGATATTTTTTCTCTTGGTTGTGTTGGAGCACTTCTCTCCAACTTCCAAGGTTGATGCCCTTCCCACCAACACCTTTTCTTTTTGTTTTTTTTTGATATTTTTTCTCTTAGTTGTGTTGGAGCACTTCTCTCCAACTTCCAAGGTTGATACCCTTCCCACCAATGCCCTTTCTTTTTGTTTTTTTTTTCAATATTTTTTATGTTGGTTGTGTTGGAGTACTTCTCTCCAACTTTCAAGGTTGATGCCCAAAAACAACTTCTGGTACTCTCTAATAATAAAAACACCTATTTTTCCACAAAGACTTGGCCAAACACTTAACTTTTTGAAAGATAAACATTTTTTTTTAAAAAGGGAAAATAAAATGTATCCAATTGATTTTCTTTCCTTTTATTTCTCAAATCAAGCTCCACATTCAACTAATTTTACTCCTTATACGTGAAAAAGAAGAAAAAAAACTCTCATTACCCACTTTCCCATATTTCTAGGTTTTTACCCCAATTTCTTCCTTTCTCTCTATTGAGTTATTCACCATTGTTTTCTCCTTTTCTTGTCTCTCTCTTGAGTATTTCACCATTGTTCTCTCCTTTTCTTGTCTAAGAAAATCACCTCTTTACTTTCCTCCAATTTGTTCAAGAAATCTCACAATTCCTTCAAAAAAAAATTCACCCAATAAAAATTCACCTCTTGGTTGTGTTGGAGTACTTCTCTCCAACTTTCAAGGTTGATGCCCAAAAACAACTTCTCGTACTCTCTAATATTAAAAACACCTATTTTTCCACAAAGACTTGGCCAAACACTTCACTTTTTGAAAGATAAACATTTTTAAAAAAAAAGGGAAAATAAAATGTATCCAATTGATTTTCTTTCCTTTTATTTCTCAAATCAAGCTCCACATTCAACTAATTTTACTCCTTATACGTGAAAAAGAAGAAAAAAAACTCTCATTACCCATTTCTAGGTTTTTACCCCAATTTCTTCCTTTCTCTCTCTTGAGTTATTCACCATTGTTTTCTCCTTTTCTTGTCTCTCTCTTGAGTATTTCACCATTGTTCTCTCCTTTTCTTGTCTAAGAAAATCACCTCTTCTACTTTCCTCCAATTTGTTCAAGAAATCTCACGATTCCTTCAAAAAAAAAAATTCACCCACTAATAAAGGTAGATACATTGTCACCAAGTATCTTTTGATTTTCAAAATTGGGTGCGGAAGATTTCGAAAAACTTGTTGAAGACCAAGCTGAGGAAGAACAATTTCCTATTAGTTTGTTTTGTATTTATAGTTTTTTTTTAGAATTTTGTATCCTTTCTCAATTAATATTCAAATTTGTATGTATGCTATTAATATTTATATTCATTCAAAATCTCATGTTGCATAGATATGAATCTTATATTTGTTCCTATTTTGAATTCATCCCAAAGGTATGTATTGTGTTTCATAGAATCATGGAGCTAAGCTCCATTCTTGCAGATCTCTGCAACTCTAATTGAAGAAGAAGAAGGAGACAGTGAAAGGAAGAAGCATCTAGAAGAAAGAGCAGAATTTTTTTTGATCACACGTTGATTTCATTTACACTTCCTATTTATAGGAATCATGTCTGTCTGTAAAGTCACACATTAAGAAATGGAATTGGTTACAACTAACTAACAACTTGCCTAACCATCTTTATGACTGCTAACAGACTTAACTGCCATAACCACCTTTTTTTGCATACTTTCATCATGTGATTCCAATACTCCCCCTCAAGATGGAATCTCTATAAACATTAAAGACTCCAAGCTTGTCTAGTAATACATGATGTTGAGTAGTTCCCAGATCCTTAGTGAGAAGATCTACTAATTGTTTCTTTGTGTTGATGTACTCTGTTTGTATCAGTCCACTTTTGATTCTTTCCCTCACAAAGTGGCAATCAATCTCGATATGTTTTGTCCTCTCATGAAAAATGGGATTAGCACCAATTTGAATTGCAACTTTACTGTCACAATGTAATCTTACAGGAGTTACCACATTTACATTTAGTTCCTTTAGCACTCCAAGTAGCCAGATTACTTCTGATACTGCTGCAGCCATGCTCCTGTACTCAGCTTCAGCTGAACTCCTGCTGACTGTATGTTGCTTCTTAGATTTCCAAGAAATTAGTGAGTTCCCTAGCTTAATCACATATCCTGTCACAGACCTTCTTGTGTTTGGGCATGCTGCCCAATCCGAGTCACAAAATGCCTCCATCTGATTACTAGGTTCACTACTCAATAATATTCCTTGTCCTGGACACCCTTTAATGTATTTAACTAATCTTAGTGCAGCTTCCCAGTGAGATACCTTAGGTCTTTGCATGAACTGAGATAATACTTGTACTGCAAAGCTTATATCTGGCCTTGTAGTTGTCAAGTATAGCAGCCTACCAATTAGTCTTTGATATGCAATGACATCTGTACATAGAGGATCATCTGTCCTGCCAATGGCTTCATCATAGTCAACCGTAGTCAACTTGA